GGTGATAGGTCCTTATCTGATCTTAACATCAGCACTGGCGCTCCCCAGGGGTGTGTCAGTTCACCTTTTCTGTTCACCTTATACACCAAATACTACAAATGCAATACACCAAACAACTGTGTTTAAATTTACTGATGACACGGCTATTCTCCGCCTCATTTAGGCACATCAGACCTAATTGGTTACAGACAGCAGATTAAAACCTTTGTTCAGTGGTGCGAGGAACAAAAATCACAATAACTGATCTTTGACCTGAGGGCAGTTGGAATAGTTTGGAATGTGCAATGGTATTCAAAATTTAAACTAAACTGACATGCTTTTTTATGTATGCATGATCTCATATAACAGATTTTTTAAAAGTCTTTTTTTCCTCACATTTTTATTGTGAATGTAATGTAACATGATTCCTTATGTATTTAGTTATTGTTTTATAATGGTATTTCTATAGCAGTGTTTTTATGTGTGAATGCAGTGTGACACATAGTTTGGACTACAGTATGTAGCAGCCAGAGTCTGTATCCATATCAAATTTCCTTTGGGACAATAAAGTAAATCTAATCTTATCTAATCTAATCGAATCTAAATGTGAGGTGACATGACAATAAAAACCTTAAATCCTGCCCAGTTATTAACAAGCCTGTCACCTTTCTTATGCAGGAATGATTAATGCATTAAATGTTTCTGCAAAATCTGCTGAATGAAAGCCTCTATCTCTGTCATGTTATCTGAAACACTCAGAAGTTTAAAATTTGTTCCTAAAGATATACCTGCCTCAACAAGTACAACCATAACATAGATGTAAATGAGGAAATATAGAAAGACAAATACTTAAACACCACATAAAACATTTGTATGAATACAGGTTTCATAGTGACCAATACAATCTAGAGCAATTCTTGAAGGTCTTCATGCTTTTCTGTTAGGATGTTAAAGTTGTCAAAGGCAGCCCTAAACTTTTTCAAAAGATTTTCAGAGGTAGTGTGGTTACAAAAGTTTTAGTAAATTTACATCACACAAAAAGAATCTTGTGGGGCTGTGGAAACTGGTAGGGGTTCAGGTAAACAGGAAAGGGGCAAACTCATCAAACTGTTTACAACCCCTTAAAATCATAAACAACCTCTTCCTACAAACAAACCTTGATTAAAACCAGACTCAGCTTTTTTGGGGGGGTGGGGGGTGGGGGTGGGGGGAAGGCAAGTACTTCTTAAACAACTATGAGAAAATGTAAATAAAAGGCAAAGAAACAAAACAAATCTTTTTGTTCTCTATTTTCTTGAAACTACATCTAATGATTTATGCGTATTTCTCATGTTTGTGTCTACCAGCAAAAGACTCCATTTGGGAAGTCTGAATTCTCTGTATATGATTAAAAACCTGTGTGGTCATGGATGAAATAGATTTTGAGCTTCACACGTCTCTGTAACTTTTTCCTTTAATGTTTGTCTATTTAAGATAAGGCATTGTAAGACTTATGTAGCCTGACAAACTGTAATCCACACATCATTGACTGAAATCTGCTGAGATAAGTTATTCTAACAGATAACTTTCACTTTATCATTTCCTTAGAATCCTTCTATTTTCATTAGCCCTATAGTTTTATAAGGCTAATGAAGTGAGTAGGCATAACTGTTTGTTCCAAAAGAACTACTTGTCATTTATCATCCTTAATAAAATGCATTTGCCTTGCTAGAGGGGCAATATTACTCATTATTTCTAATTGTCTTTTTTTCAGGATGACAGTATTCATCTTGATTGTTTAGGAATCTGGCACAATGCAATAAAAAGATGATCATCACAATCAATTGTATTTTATTTATACTTGAATTATGTGCTGTAGTCATGTCTTCTGCCACTTTTAACTTACTAAACACCACAGGTCACAATTTTATTAGATATCAGAATAAAATGTTATGTCTTTCTGTTTGATAATGTGAAATAGGAGAACATAATTCTTTATTGCACATTCTTTCTTTTTACAGGTATTTCTACATACTATGGAGTGTCGATCTGTGACATTTTTAACAAACACACATATGTGATTCAAACATGCATAGGACAAGATACACACATGTGCACCACGATTCACACAAGCACAAAAAAATCTGCACAAGAGCCACACATGCACAGAACGATTCACACAAGAATACAAGATCCACACAAGCACAGAACAAGATTCACCAAAGTATTTCTGGTCCATAAACAATTATAAAGTAAATTACAAACCACCAGTAGTCTTCGATGCATTTGTGTGTGGATTTTTTGGACTTTCCTGACATGCCTTGATACACAAAGGCACTTTTTCAAGCAGGAAATTGTTTGCCAGCAATCACAAACCTCCTTTGAATAAGCCAATCACCTCCTGTCATTTTGCAAGTTCAAACACCCTGCCATTTTGCAAGTTCTCCCACTTCTAAATCATTAAAAAAGGTCTACAGGGAAATTGCCAAGCAGCTTGGTCCACTATTGAAGCAATAGATGTAGAGAAGATCTATGTGGATGAGTGGGCCAAAATCCCTCCTGCAGTGTGTGCAAACCTGGTGAAAAACTACAAGAAACGTTTAACCTCTGTAATTGTAAAAAAAAAAAAAAAAAAAAAAACACTACTGTAACAAATATTAACATTTATTTTCTCATGTGTTCAAATACTTATTTGCAGCTGTATCATACAAGTAAATAGTTAGAAAATCATACACTGTGATTTTGGGATCTTTTGTTTTAGATTTTGTCTCTCACAGTGGGCATGCACCTAAGATGATTATTTCAGACCCCTCCATGATTTCTAAGTGTGAGAACTTGCAAAATAGCAGGGTGTTCAAATACTTATTTTCATCACTGTATGTAGAGGTAGGACATCAAATTAATAAAATGAGATCATCCTCAGATGACTTATGAATAATATTTCTTAGGGTCATGATACATGATGTGCTAAACTGGAGGTGGGCAAATTTTGCACTCTTTTATTCCTTATTTTACTTCTTGATTTGCTGCTATTTAGTGTTTCACTGACAAAGTCCTAAAAAAGAAGCAAAACCAGGGTAGGTAATATAACAGTTTCAAATCAGCTTTTATCATCTGTTCTCACACTGCTAAAAAAAAAAGTTTATGGTGTTCCAGGAAAGAAAACTAGAACAAACAAAGTATAGAACAAACAGAGTCAGGCGTCTGTCTCTTTATTTGGTGTCTTTGAAGAGGTAGGTTTTAAAACCAGGTTGCAACATGCTTTTCTCCCCAGGGGATAAGTTATCTGGTGGATTTCCCCCTTTGTGATGTTTAGTTTTCACAACAGTAACATTTCACTGCAGGGAAATTTGCCAAAGCATTGAAGCAGTTTATTTTAGGTGTGATAGTTTGCAGCGTATTTTGGAAACAGTGTTTAGACAGGTTTTAGACTTTTAGGAGAAAGTTGATATTGGAACGATGAATCTCTCATCCAAACAATTTAAATTGACAAGTTTTCTGTTTCAACATTTAAGCAGATTTTAATAAACTGTCATGTGAAGATCCTAATAAATTTTAGCTACTGCTATTTTTATCTAATTAAGGCACTTTAAAAGTGAATCAGCTTTGTTTTACCTTCCTTAAAGGAATAGTACACCCAAAACATGAGTAGCCTTCATTTTCTACTCACCCCCATGCTGAACAACACTCTGGAGTACTTTTTTGATATCTCAAATGCATCTGGAGATCTGGGAGGCTTCTTGCTGTCTGCTGACATTCAAATAATGGAGGTCTATTGTGCCCGAGGCAGAAAGGTCCATAAAAGTCCACAAAAAAACGTGTCAATATTCCTCCATACTGCTCGTCCAATGTATTCCAAATGTCCTGAGTGGGTAGCATCCAGAATTTACTCAAAACGAAGTCATTTAGAATGTTTTTAGAGCATAAACAGTAGTGTATAGGATTTCCTGAAAGCGCGTTCACGACGCTACGGAAGCCGGCAGACCAAACCCGCGCATTCAGCTCGGCAAAGAACTCATGCTCTTCCTCAACACTGAAGTCCTCAGACATTTTTCTTTCGTTGTTTCTTTCTTTGCACAGGTAAACAGCACATTTCTTCTTCTACGCTTGCATTATTGGCAGAGCAGACGCTGAATGCGCACTTTCATCTGGTTTGGTCTGCCGGCTTCCGTAGCGTCGTGAACGCGCATGTGCGCGCTTTCAGGAAATCCTATACACTACTGTTTATGCTCTAAAAACATTCTAAATGACTTAGTTTCGAGTAAATTCTGGATGCTACCCACTCAGGACACTTGGAATACATTGGACGAGCAGTATGGAGGAATATTGACACGTTTTTTGTGGACTTTTATGGACCTTTCTGTCTCGGGCACCATAGACCTCCATTATTTGAATGTCAGCAGACAGCAAGAAGCCTCCCAGATCTCCAGATGCATTTGAGATATCAAAAAAGTACTCCAGAGTGTTGTTCAGCATGGGGGTGAGTAGAAAATGAAGGCTAATCATGTTTTGGGTGTACTATTCCTTTAAGGTAAAAAAAAATACTACTGAGTTCTAACTGTCAGCCTATGGCATCAAGCAAACAAAATTTACACCCCTTGATATTTTTTCACATTTTGCTATGTCAAAACCACAAACTTTATTGCATTTGAATATAGACCAACATGTAAGAGCAAAGTATGAAGTACAGGGAAAGGAATGTTTTAGCTTAAAGCATATTGGAGTGTTAGAACAGTATGGACAAATTCAGTTCTTTTAATTAAGACCTCATTCAATAGAATTGCAAATCTCATAGACCCATTCTCCCAAAAGAACGGCAGCTGTGATCATAATGTTAACAAATCATAAGAAGATGCACAGTAATCTGAGGGTGTGCTGAGAAGAATACAGAAATGTCTAAGTACATTGCAATTTTTATTTTAATTTTATTTTAACCTATTTAATTTTAAAGTCCCTTTTTGTAATGTGTTGAGGTCTGAACAGATGTGGTCATGGCTGCTTGTTTCAAGATTCTTCAACAAAAAAAAACAACTTTATTGCAGGGATTTGCTTAAAATTCTTTATTTCAAAAAGAAAACCATAATGGGAGAAAACAAAGGAAATAATGCAAGTACTGTGAAAACAGCATGCTGGGTCTCAATAATACTTAGACAACTATTGTTATTGGAAATCTAAAGACAATGATAAAGCTTTTTCAGATATCTACGCATTATACCCTGTCATAATGTTTTTACTAATGTTCTAAAGAGTTACATTAGGGTAACTTCTTGATTTCATAACCAAAGATCAGTGTTTAAAATGTTGAGGAGCAGACGATAGTTCAGTCGTTCACACTTTCGCAGGTGCCTGGAAACAGAAAAATAACATACAATTTTCCTAAATATATACTTGACGAAATGTTTTCTAGAACATTTATTAGTGGTTCAATTTTAATTATCAAAGTAATTCATAGTTTGGTTACTTGGCTTGTTTGCACAGGTTGGTCCTGCTGCAGTTGCTGCAGGGGATCCTGGGAGGGATGTGCATTCACATCAAAGGCTGGCATCTAAGAATCAAAGTAGACACATGTGAAGGAAAATAAAGAGAGGCACTATAGATTATATATCTGTAATTATCTTGCCTTACATTTACAGGCTGCTGGGGAATGGTTTGAGGAGGAAATCCATATGGGGTTAACTGGGAAAAAAGGAGACGACAAATAGAATTTATAATTTCCAATAGTTTTGAAAGTAATAGTGAAATCACAAAATCAACTTTAAAAAATGGCTTACATCTTGCCCAATCGGACCATTTGTCATTGCAGGAGTGTTCTGCATGATCTTGAAAAAAAAAAAAAAAAAAATATTCACCTGCTTTTACAGTCCAATAGTATAATGTTAGGTCTACAAGACTGTGTTAAATTGTCCAAAATATTTACCCTGTTTTGAGTGAAGTCAAATGGGTAGAACTGTAAGCATAAAAACAGCACAAAAATGTTAATGAGCCCAATTTGTTCCAGATAACAACAAGAATGGCAAAAAAGAACAGATAACACATACAACTTCAACACTCTGTCTACCAGGTGGCTGAGGAATGGAGTACTTGATGAAACCATATTGAGGAACAGTCTGTTGAAACAAAATCAGTGTAAAGTTAAAAATAAGTTATTGTCATGCATTACCACAAGTACGTACACATACAAACAACTCCTACCTGTGCTTGGTTTGTTCCAGATGCACCAGCACCAAATCTATATGGGTAAAGCTTTGAAAAAGATGCAAAGTGTACATTTGTGTGAGATAAAAAAATCATGTAAAATTACCGTACGACGAAACATCATGTTAGAGAAACAAGACTTACAAATTCCACACTATAGGCCCCTGGGACTCCAGGTTGTGGGAAACCAGTTGTGAAAGGTGCTTTTATCTATATAGATGTAAAATAAACTTATCTGTGAAATTGCAGCCTTCAGTGATTTTTTTTTTTTGTGTGTGTCAAATTCATTTAGTGGGTGAGAAAGAAAAAACTAAAATTTTGTAGAACAGATTAAAAAACAATACAAAAAATGCGCCGTTACCTGTGCCCCTGGTACCCGTGGTCTAGACCCTGTGTAATGCGGCAAGTACTGAAACTTGATGCACAAATTGAAATAGTTAGAGATAGGAAAGCAGTACAATTTGTGTGAACGTTTCAATTTTTATGACGTAGACTTACAGGCAGAGCACAGGCAGTGCTGGCCAAACACAAACATAGAAGGACCGTCTTCATTTTCAACCTGAAAACATAGAAATCGATGTTATTAAATATGTAAACATTACCTTTGTTTGCTCGTTTCTGTTTGCCAGGTATATATGCTCTTACCCAATGTGATAAAAAAAAAATAAGCACCAGAGAATGAAGGTGAAATGAGGTGATGCCAGCTGATTGAGTTATGTCTCACACAGACTTGCTCCTTCTTTTATATGGTGCCCCCTGACCAAACTGCTGATTACAGTCGAAGGGAGTGAAGTCACCAATGAGGGCGTACAGTGCAGGTGTCTGTTCCACAGCTTAACTAAATGACCAGTGGTCAAATCCTCTATTTAAATAATAGTAGGGTTAGTTTGATTACACAGTCTGAGGCTAAACACCTTCACTCAGCTCATCCAGCCAACATGACAGGCTTCAGTGTTGTTGAATTTGATAGTTTTATAGATATTAGTGTTTTTTTAATGTGTTTTGGAATCACTAAAAGTAACATGTTGAAAAGATGTTTCCCAAAAGGTGATAATAAATATAATAAATTCAGTATCTTAGTCTTAAGTGTTAACCTTTTCTGTAAAAATGCCTTGCTGATGCTAAATTGTTCCGCTGCACAAAAAAGGAGATATGTACATGAAACTTTGAAAAGCGTTGAGTGAGTCTGTGTCAGTGTTTAATTTTTATAGTATTTTGTTTTTGGTTAATCAGAATGAGAGTGTTGGGGTTCCTGCACCTGCAGCTGGTAAATGGTCATCAGGAGGAGCATTTAGGGACAACACTGCCAGTTCCTCGCCACCTGATTGTAACAGTAAGAGGTCATTCAAGCCGAACCCAGGCAGTCTTCTGCATGTTTTTTTGGTTGTCTATGTCCAGAAACTCTCAAAAAAATACCCATTCCTTGGATCAAGTTCCTTACTCGCATCTTGTCCTCTGACCGTGTTTCTGCTCTTGACTGAATTCTGTCCTCTTGTTTCAGACTTACTGTTCTGGACTAAAGCCACAAACCACCCTGGGTTCCCAGGAAATGCACCCCCAGAGAGAAAGAATGGGTCAAGCCTCCAGTAAGTCATTTCTTTAATTTCATTCTCCTGGATTAATTCCTTCACTCATCTCTACTGGGTTTACCTCAGAGATCCAGTCTCCTTCATAGAAACTTTTTACAGGTTGCTCACCGTGACCTCTGTAAAAATAAACTTCATAAAGTTTTAATTGCTTCTTGTTAGTTTTCTGCATGTGGGTCAAACACTCTGAAAAGAAAAGCATGATAGAAACAATGGGACAAAGAAAGGTGAAATTTGAGCCAAATAGCCGTAATTTATTCTTCAGTAGAATTCTTTTGTTTTTGTTTCGGTTATTATGCATCAAATTTGGACTTTAAGGATCTGTGTTTATTGGATGAGAATGAACAGAGTCTAAATGAGCTAAGTTTTTTCCGTTTGGAACTAGGAATGTCAGATTACTATTAAAACTGTGTAATAGCCTATTACAGACTATAATAGCCGAGCCTGACAAAACAGTCAGTTTTGTACTAAAGAGTACACCTATGAAGCAGCTGTCAGCTCACTACTATTAGGAGCTAAAACTTTTCAATATGCTTATAAATAAGTTCTACTTTTCTAAATATTTTTTTAATCATTGAGACATTAAAAAATATTGGCAACTTTTTTAGCACCATTGTTTGTGATTAAGTCAGCTCTGTCTTCTTCCTATCAAACTCTAATAGTTCTGTTATTGTTCCCCCGACTCTAAGGGTACACTTTCGCTGTTTGATTTGTGAACAGCCGGTTTACCCGTCTGGCTTCATTGTCTCTTATGTATCTCTTTAGGTGGCTGGCCAAGGCTTGGAGCCTTTGTATTGCAGTTTAGAGTGCATTAGGTATGGACATCTGGCTATACCTCGGTCAGTTGACTCACTTCTTTCCTTGTTACCTAGATATTATCCTCCAGCCTTCTTTTCCATGGTGGGTATTTCATGGGTTGTTCTTACAGCCAAGCTTCTCTAGGATCACTGCTGCTGTGCAGTAAATCAGCTCATTATTGTCCGTGATGGCTGATGTAGGAACTGCTTGCAGAGCTGCATTCACGTTTGCTAGTAAACTTTCTGATGGTAACTCACTTAGTCTCTGTAACTGGCTTCGGGCTGCCTGGTGAAAATCTTTGCCATGAGCAAAGGTAACTGACCATCAGGTCAGTTACCTTTTTTACCTGCCTTTTTTATCTTTTTATCATTACTTGCTTTTATTTGACTTCTATTTTTTGTTTCATTCATGTAAAGCACTTTAAACTGTCTTTGCACTGAATTAAGCTATACAAACAAACTTGCCTTTGCCTTTACCCACAAGTCAATGACAATACATTAAGCTGGTTTGATATATTTGTATGTGTGTGTATTGAAAACATTGTGGGGTCATCTTCTGGGGAAAAAAAGAAGCATGTTTTGGCTCCTAGTGGGGCCCAGTGCCTAGACCAGGGGAATTGCTGTTTTATGCTCAGGGGTCATGTTATAGTCTAAGGTGTAAAAAAAGTAAGGTTGGGGTTAGGGTTACGTAGTCTATGGTTGGGTTAATGGTTAGGTTTCATGTAAGGGTCAAGGTAAGGCTGTAGAAAATGAAACACATTTTTATGAGCTTTCGTCAATCAGATCTTTCTTTTATGTGATACATCTGTGAAATATATTTTATATTATTCTGCAATAATAGGGTAAAAGATGAAAATCTATGAAATCTTGGTTTCATAGATTTCATAGGTTAATTAAACCTCTGAACTGCTAAAAAGTTAGAACAAAGAGTTAGGCAAGATTCCGGCTTTAAAAACTATGTGTAGGTCCAATTTTTGAAATTACTATCAATGAATATCAATCAATAACAATAATTTCATTTTCTCTTTACAGGGTAGGTTACCAAAATGAATGGTGAATTAGAGTTAACATTTTCAAATTAGAACTGTGTAATTTTATTTCCTGTTAGTACTGCACACTGAAGTCAAACTTCTTGACCAATAAAACTGATTCTGTTTATGATAAAAATGCCAAGTTATACAAAAACCTTACTTTTCATGTCATCATTATATGTAATTATTCATGAACAAATAAAAAAATAGTAGTCTTGATTAATGCATTTATCTGCTTTATTTACTGATAAGGAAATCATATGCAAATAAATGGAAAAAGGACAATCATGTTTCACAGCATGCTAATAGTTGCAAGTGTTGCATCATTTTTTTTCATGTTTTTAGAAAGAAGGTAGCACCATCTAGACTAGAATTTTCCTCCCATAATGCACAGCACCAAATGTATTACAAGCTTCCTAAACAACCAATGATGACTCGTTATTTTTCATCTTGGCTCGTAGCTGGACTCCTCACCTTAAAATAAAACACACCAAGTCAACTTGTAAAATTAACAATATAAAACACCAAAAATGTGCAATCATTAGGTCAATATATCAATTGTCTTTTTTATAGTCAGCATGCCTGTGTACACTGTGCAATACCTCTTTTTGCATGCATGAGCAAAACTGCTGCTGACTCTGGTCTTTTTAGTCATCTTCCTCATCGTCATCACTGGGTTTGGCAACCTGAAATTACAGAGGTTTTTCATAAGTCAGCAAGGCATGAGGGCTGTTCCCCGATGAGCTAATGCACTTAAATAGGTCAGCAGAAACAGATAAGCTCCTTTTTCAAGCATTGATTTATTTGAATATACCCACTCCCCCTTTTTACCTAATTATTTCTTCTGCTATTATTATTGCTATTATTGCTATTATATGCTATTATTACTATCAAAATTACTGTCCATATAAAATAGGCTTCTTAAATAGTTCTTACAGGAGCTGCAAGGATAACAACAGGGTTAGCAAGTGCAGCCTGAACAGCTGGAGCTGCAGGAGCAGCAGGAGCAGCAGGGGCAGCAGGGACAATAGGTGCAGCTGCAGCTGGATCTGGCTGGTTGAACCCAAAGGGATAATACTGAAGCAGAGGAGAGAAAAAAATGTATAATAATGACAACAAACTTTATACATCAGTCAGGAATCTTCATTTCACTTACAATCTCATCATTTTTCCCATTCTCCCCAGGAATCTCCTGCTTAATGAATCCATGGACCTTCGAGTTAAAAGTCATTCAGGGATTAGTACACGCAGGTAACCCACAGTGTTAAAGAGAACAGCCAAACTGCTATTCAGATTGCAGTTTAAGATTCATTTGCTTCCACAATTTATGATATAAACTACACATATGCTGCATGGCCGGTAAATATCAAACTTAAAAATGTCACTTACAGGTCCACCAACAAACTGTCTCTGTCTATTAACAGGGAGCAGCTGAAAAAAAAAAAAGTCACAATTATTACAAATAAGAGTAACAGTTTGATATAGTTTACATTTGAGGTGAAAATATACAATTATAAAGGGCTTCTCTTACAACTTCCAGGGACCCTATTGGTGCTCCTGCTGGGATTGCCTGGGCTGCCTGTGAATAGTAAGTCCACAGCAATAAAAATCACACTATCAAAACAGTTGAAATAGTAGCAAAAAAATTAAAAATTAAAAAAACACTTTTTTATTTATTTTTACAATACCTGAGGGGGAGCATGGTGGATGTCAAACTCCATGTACATCTCTAACTGTTTTAAAGGAAAGGTTATACATTCAAACAGAGTTATTGCAGTGCAGATCCAAAAATAAAGTTAAAAAGTTAATAAAAAGTCTGCTTTCGTATGTATTTTGCCAAAAAGTATATATTTTCAGAAATTCTAAAGATGTATTGAAACACCAGGAAGAACGATAATAACAGTGTAAAAATATCACTGTAAAGTATTTTAAAATCATTATATGATTGCAATCTTCTTAATTAGACATCAGTTATTTTGCTGCAGAAGATCTACTGTATATTAAAAGTATAACACAAATTTTCGAATAGAAAATATGTGTTTTCCTTACAGGAGCACTGTAAGCCATCCCAATGATGCAGGCTGCAAGAACAAGGAGCTTCATTTTGAATCAAGCTGTGAAAACACATTTTCTTGAGTCATCCAAGAGTATTAAATGCATAGAATTTAAAATAATAAAAATAAAGCATGTAAAAACAAATTCTCAAATTACTATATTTTATATTACCTTTCCTGTCTGTCCAAGGGTGAGTGCAGAGGTATTCTTGGGGAAATCTGTGGCGAGCAGAGGAAGATTGCTCCTATTTATATGCTTACAAAAGAAAGATCTTTCAAACTTTTGACAGGAATTGGTGATAAGCCAACGAGTCTTGATTTTTATGTTCACATCACTGGCAGCTCCATCTCTGGGAGAAACCCCCATAACATAGTTTTGGCTTGAAATACACATTTACGACATATGATCCTTCAGTAGCATATTTGTGAGGTGAAGAAGTGCAAGAACCCATTCAACTCAGAGGTTATATGAGAACATAATTCTAGGATCTAGATGTTTTAGCTGTTTTAAAAAAAATCTCTTTTAGAAAATCACCTAAAGAAATTCACTTTTGCATGTAACCCATCCCCTATGGGAGCAGTGGGCTGCCAATGTACGACACCCAGGGAGCAGTCTGAGGTTAAGTGTCTTGCTCAGGGACCCAGATTGGGTCTGTGGGAGTTGAACTCAGGACCTCCAGGACCCAACCACAATGCTCTAACCACTAGACCACCACTCCCCAAGCATATACACTTTATTAACCATTATATAATTTTAAAAGCACATAACATTTCAAGCGTTTGTAAATCATAAAAACCCCAAGTTTCAAGGGAGAAGCTAAGCATGCATTTGCAGAACATACAAATGCCATGCCCCGAGTGCCAAAATTGTAATCTGGAACTTCTTTGTACAGTCAGTTCATTCTGAAAAAATTGTGTGTTTTTTTTTTTTTTATCAAACTGCTTCACTCATAGGTTCTCAAGTATAATTAACCACTAAAGTCAATGTTATTAGGACATTTATTGAATTATTTATTTATTTAACTAGGATAGTCCTGTTGAGATTAAAACCAATTTTTAAGTGATTCTTGACCAAAAAGGCACCGACAAATTAAACTAAAATTGACATACTTGAAAGAAAAGCATTAAATTGTGAAGAACAGTTACATTATATTGAATGAGCTCAAATAGCTTTTATAGTTTGGAAGTAAAACCATTCAGTAATACATTTTTTGTTATTTTAATTGTTTCCTGACCCAACAAAAAGGCACAAGGGACAGAAAGAAACAGCTTATTGTCCGTGTGAGAGGTATACAAGTTAACGTTTCTTAGTGTAAATGCGGAACAGATAAAGGTTGAAAGCAGTCCAAGTAATGCTTTGTAAGCTAAAGTTAGCCAATAGGAATTCCTTCGAGCTGCCAAACCAGACCATTCCAACAGTGAATATAAATCAGTGGTGTGCTGAAATTTTGCAGTTTGTAATGAACCTCAGGGTAGAGAGGAAGTCAAGCAGTGAAGTTATAATGAAGAAGCAATCATATACAAAATACCTCTATAATCCAACACAGTCATGAAAGCCGGTTTCTGTAACAGCATTTGAAAAACACTATTTGTTTCAAAAATAAAAACCGGCTTAAATTTGACCCTTTTACATGATTTTCCACATGGTTAATTAAAGTGTGTCACCAATCAAAGTATCCGAATATTTATTATGTGTGAACCAGCTCTATTTAGTGTCCTCCCCAAGAGGGAGGGTGGGGTGTCTTTCTGATTTACTAAAATACATTAATTATTTTATCATTGTCACATCCCAGACAGGTTGCTGAAAGAATTGTCAGGTGCACATTCAAAGTCACTCAAAGGGTACATTTAGAGTTAACAGATAATTTAATATGCATGATTTAAGTTTGATTGGAAACAGAATCTGGAAAAAACTAGTAGATATGTTAAAATAACATCAAACTTTACACATCTTCAGGCAAACTTTACACATCTGGAATTTTAATTCCTTATGCACTACAATAAAGTGAGTAATGACACATTCGGCTCACAATTTTAGACGATACATGACTTTTGGGTTCTCAAGAATGAGAAATTGACCTCTGCATTTAAACCATCCCCTTGGGGAGCAGCGCCCGGGCACTGTGCAGCATCTGGGCAGCAGTGTGGGGTTAAAGGTCTTACTCAAGAATCCAGAGTGCTGGCTGTAGAGATCGAACAGGGTACTTGCAACCTTCTCAGAGCACAAGCGCACTGCTCTGACCACTGGGCCAACACTCCATCTTCAAATGCCATTGAGTTTAATAACAATTTCTCATGAAGTAGTTTTTTTTTTTCACAAATGTTCTTTCCATACATTTATGTAATGTACCAAGACAAAGCATATAAAAAATTTTTTTATTTAAACAGGACTCTTGCACTGCCTCCAGTATGCAAATGTTCTACTCTATAAGGACTAGGGCATCACTCCATCACTTTACAAAAAGAAAATGCCAAGTGCATTAGACCTCATTAGAAAACCATGTTGGCTTTTTCTTCTTTGGAATATGAGCAGGTTCGGTATTCCTATCACATTAAACTTCAATGAAGCATAATGAAGTTTGTGGTTGTAACAAGACAAATTGTGAATAAGGCAAATGTAGTTTTCTAAACTGGTTGACTGTTGAGGCTTCAGGACTTTGCTTGCATGAAGAAAAAACAAACAAACATATTTTTCCAGCTGTCACTCTTCTGCCAAGCACTTGCCACAAACTTGATTGGCATCTTACATCTAATTGAGGGCTTCTATCAATTATTGCCTCTAATAAGTTACCCTAAAAAAATAAAATAAAATAACGCACTGGAGACAAAATTCATTATGAATTTTACAAGGTGTTGCTATGTTATTGATGTGCACGAAAATAAATGTAAGCCAGAAAATGTAAGGAAACATTCATCCATTCATCTTCTCTTGCTCCTTGTCCAAGAGGGGGTGTACACCCTGGACAGGTCGCTAGTCTCTCACAGGGCAACACAGAGACACACAAAGTCACAACCATGCACACACTCACACTTAAGGACAATTTAGAGAAGCCAATTAACCTAACATTGATGTTTTTTGGACTGTGGGAGGAACCTGGAGAGAACTCAAGCATGCATCAACAGAACATGCAAACTCCATGCAGGCCAGGAATTAAACCCAGAAGCTTCTTGCTGCAACGCAACAGCGCTACCCGGTACAACACCGTGTAGCCGGACAGGTAACATTCAAACTCTGTGAAAACAGTTTGATGAAATAATGCCACAGGACATTACAAAAGCATGTCTTTGATTGTTTTCTTTATTTGACATTGTATTAAAAAAGACTATACTGAAGGCAAAGAAAATCAACGATTATCATAATATTCTAGAACCCTAATAAAAAATTACTCTAAGTAGCATTTAGTAGTTACTACAGTTATTACAGTTTTAAAAATGGTTTCTCTGTGTGGACTGGGGTTTGGGTTGAGCTGGTGTTTGCACTGTGGGAGTTTCTTGCACGGCTGTCTTCAGACCCGCAGGCAAGTTGTTAGCATTCGCCTGTGATCCAGCACAAGGCAGACCCTGTAATGGTTGGGCTCCAGCTGTTGACGTCCCTGCAGTTTGCCCGGCAACCCGCTGTTCTAGGTTTGTGAGGCCAGTAGTCTGGCTCTGTGCTTGAACTGCTCCTGCACCGTTTGGAAGGTTCCCCAGCATGGTGGGCATAAACATACCCAGCTGGCTCATTTTAGCTGCCGTCTAAAACAGGGAAGAATTTATAGATAATGTAAGACAAATGAAAAGAGAGTTTGTCTACCATTGAGAGTGGGATCATTGAGTTCACTGAAACACAGTGTTTGCACATGTTGAGAGACAGATAGAAATCTTGGCTGGTTTACCTCAAGTTCCTCTGAGCTAAGACCTCCAAGTGAGGGATTCTAGAAAATAATGACAGCTCATGTCAAATGAAAATGTATCTGCCAAAAGTTGTGAAATTATAAAGGCTGCATTATTATCTCAGAATTAAAACGTTTTTATACCTACCAAGGGTTGCTGGAGCATATATACTATTGGGGGAGTCTGTGAAAAAGAGTTTGACAACATGATCATAAATTGAAACATTTAACTTACAAGTATACCAAACTATTATCTATTATGGTATAGTATTAATCATATTAATTCCACAAACCTGTTGCTGTGTTTGTTGAGCTGCTGCTCCGGAAGGTGCAGCTGCCACTCCAGCATTTTCCGCTGGCAGTACAGGACTGTTAGTTAGCTGATTTGTTGGAGTTTGAGGGAGGGAAGGACCAGAAACCTTTGGGAATCCATAAGGGGAGAACTTTGTGGTAGAAAGAAAATGCACGCAATAGTTAATTTATGTTCTTAAATGTAGCATTCACTCACGAGACACACAAATGTTAAATAGTTCTACATTGCTCTGAAAAAGTAGAGTGAAAAATCCAGACTTGCAGCAATGAAATATGGGATGTCATCTAAGCATCATAAATCCACCTATAATTATATCTAAAGACACATGTCTTTATTTGCACAACACTGTCTCCGGTGGGAGAGTTTGAGGTTGTACTTGGGTTCCTTTGAGAACACATGAAAGAGTAAAAAAAAATTCCTTATAATAATGAAAACTGCTCAACAACCCACAGGGGAAAGATTTCAAGTTATAGTAAGCTGTGTGAAGATTTTCTTTTTTTTTCTCTCTACAATCTATAGTATGTGTGGGATCTTGCTAAAGGCAAGAGGCATGAGCTTGCTAATAATATCTTACCATCTGATTGCCATAGGGTGAGGGAAAGACAGGCAAGAACCCGTAAGATGGAAAAATCTAGTTAGAAGAACAGAAAGAATACCAAATTGGTGCCTTTGAATTGAACGTTGTAATACTATGAGGTAGAAAATAAAAAATGAAATTTAATCTGAAAACATATTTTTTCCTACCATTGGCTGATGTGCAAGGGGCAGCTGGTTAGGGGCTAGAAATCCACCAACACTCTGCGGAAGGGAGATCATCATTGGACTGCCCCCTTGTGGAAAAAAAGAATGCTGCTGTAATGATTGCTGGTGATTCGCCTGTTGATCCACCTGCTGGGTGTTTCCAAGCTGTGGTTGATCCAAACCGTGAGGAGGAGTGGAGCCCAACTGAGGCTCAGCTTTCTGGACTGTGGCATCAACAGGCTGGCCTGTGTGACTGAGCCCGTTTTGTGACTCCTGCAGAGGATGGGCATTGGGACTAACCTGTTAAAGAAAAGCAGTAGGATGAAAAATTAAGTCTTTACTAATGAGCAAATGCAACCTATTATTATTTTCATATATGCTAAAAACAGGGATCTACTTACCGGAACTGCAGTAACAAGTATAGTAGTACATGAAAGCAGAAATATGAGGATCATTTTTAAGAATAAAGGAAATTCACAGTTCCTTAGAATTCTTCGCAGTCAGTGGATGGAGGCGTTCAAGTAATGCCACACTGGAGTCGTATAAATTGACTGAAAGTACAAGGACAGGTGTGGGGACTTATGCTTCAGTCACAAGCAAAAATGACCAATCACAGCACAGAAAGAAAAGCACAAAATCCTCCTAATTACCTTCTGTGAATGAAGGACGACCTGGAAACCACACAAATTCTCCTGAATGAACTGAATTGCAAGTTTTCCTTCAATTACGGTGCTGTAACGTCTATAGAAATGTATAAACAACCACTGAAGAGTTCAGACAGTGTTGTTTCCTGTTGCTCAGGACACCTCTGGGTGCGGCTGATGTCACTGTCTGACTGCTCTAATTACCCTTAACCCATATGCTGGAAATGGATGAGAAAAGCAAACTTTTCTGAAGTTGCTGCAACTGTAGGAACAATTGCTGACCCATCCATATATAGACAGAATATGAAGTGTATACATTTTTATAAGCCTGTATAGTGTACTGGGATGAAACAAGACAATGTTTAAATATACATTAAAAAGTAAATTGAGATAAACACACAACTGCATAGCTTTTAGCTATTGCTTTTTAGTATACAGGAATAAAAGCTCAATCGCTGTTAAAATATTAAACTAAGAGTGGGATACATCTACTGGGGCATTGCAGTAGTTTTTTTTTTTTACATGGACAAAATAGCCTCAGACATTTTTTAGGTGAACGGATTATTTAAAAGTTTGAGATTTATCAAAACCTTTATTGTATTTGTGAAAACACAAAAAAATCTAATCTTTTTACATAGAACTTTTGATTATTTGGTTTTAAATTGCTTTCCCAATGTGACATCTACAATATAAAGTTCCGTCACTCGCTAAGTCAGGCTAACAACTTCTTTTTGAATGGGATATATGTTTCAAACTGGCATGGAAGATTGAACATGTGTAGCATTTAGATGTATTTCTACACATTATTAATCTAGGAATCTTCCAATTGAAATTGTTTGGTCTGTACGTGTGGTTTGTTTTGCAATCCAAGGAGGAGGAGTCGCAGGTGTCACATGGTAGGGTGACGTCAGTTACACATCCTCTATAGCAGGCATCCCCAACTCGGTCCTCGAGGGCCGCTGTCCCGCAGGTTTTAAGGGTTTCCTTGCTTTAGCACAGCTGATTGTCATGAATGCAGTAGAGCAGAAGCCTGTTAATCAGCTTTTAATTAAAATCAGCTGTGCTGGAGCAAGGAAATCTCTAAAACTTGCAGGACAGCGGCCCTCGAGGACCGAATTTGGGGATGCCTGCTCTATAGCAATTATTATGGTGACCACAGACCCACTTTCAATGTGCTTACCAATTGGAGGTATTCAGATTGAGGCCAGAGAGTTCTGGTCCATCCCATTTGTCCACTTTTGTATTTTCATACCAAAGATGCATTTACTTAGCAGCACAGAAACTTGGATGTAGAAATAAATTGCTTCGGTGAATACACCCTACAACTCAACAAGTCCACATTTTTGCTTTACCGGTGTTATGTGCGTCGGGCACATTAATTATTATTATTATTTTTTTCTTTTCCCTTTTAGTGTTGTATAGACCTTAGTTGAGTCGCTTAAATTTTAGAGTTGATAATTATTTCTTTTTTCTTTTGTAAATGATTTGATTACGTTAATTGGTTGTGATATTGGTCCGCCTACAAGTAGGCTGGGTTTTTCTCTCTCTCTCTTCGAACCTTCTGATCAAGCCACCGTCACAGAGAGCATCCAGACGCGATGCGCACATCTCATGTCTTTGTAGGCCGCCGCTGACCTCTCCAGCCTGCCATGTGGTATTCTTGTTCGTTAGCCTTTGTTTTTTGTAGAATTTTTTGTAACTTTGACCTGGTGGGACCAGTTGTCCTGTTTTCGTTCTTTTTTTCTTTTTTTAGGGTTTTAACCGTTAGTTCGTTACTAGCAGAGGCTTCGACGGCCCTGTATAGGGTTGGCCCTCTGCTGTAACATTTTGTTTCTTTGGATCGGCTCACAAGGTCCAACTTTCTGTTCATACTTTGGGGGGGGGGGTTTTCTCTTAGAGTTTTTTTTTTACACGGGGAACTGGGGAAAAATCTGACTCTGTTTTTTTTTGTCTCTTTGCAGAAAAACAAAACAGCTGATCTAAAAAGAAGTTCCAGAGACTAAGAATAAAATAATTCTTTTGAACCTCATGTTTGTCTCGTGTCATCAAATATGTTGTGGCCTGGATGGTCGTAACAACCGCCTTTGAGCTTGAAGCCCAAAACTGCATTTGTCGGTTTTATTTTGTAGAGTTTATATCTCGTTGAACCTATATCTCAATGTGGTGGGGGGTTTAAGAACTTTCCTATGGAGCCATGCCTGGGATTGGGGGTTGTCAGTGAGTGCCTGGTGTTTGGGTAATCTTGTTGGATTAAAAGCCTCAAAGAAAGACACGATGAGATACCATAGTTGGCCATTCATCTAAAGGAAGTAACCATGAGGGGCCTTTGAGAGGAGTGGGTAGCTGTTGGAGGTTGAAGCCTCTGCAAGCTGATTCAATTACAGTTCAATTGGTTCTGCGGCAAGTAATGTCATCTCACTGAAGCGAAGGTACCTAAGCTTGTACATGAGGTTGAGCCATTCTGGCTAGAGATTGTCAGGGTCACCTTTACACATAGCATGGGATCTGGAACCTACCTCTTTGAGAGAGGCTGGACTTTCTTCTTCTATGACTTTCTTATTCTATGAAGTAGCCTACAGATCAGGGGCGTCTGTAGGTTTAAGAGACAAGGGTGGCTTAAATTTCGGTGCGCGCAGAGCGCGCGCCGAAATTTTTTCGGTGCACCTGCTAAAGCGTTGTCTAAGACAAGGGTGTAACTTTTTGTTGAAAGTTGGTGGGGACGGCTCATAAGGAAAGGGAGCTACCTGCGTGACGCCTTTTTTTTTTTTGTTGGAAAGGATAAAGCCAAAAAAATGCGAATAGCATTTATCAATTTAATGCTTACAGTTGAAAACATAACTGTTACAATATGCACTTATATATTTTGTGCAAAAAATACCACATAAATCTAAACAGACAGTACAAATCAAAGAAATCAAATAAATATATAAATTTTGTAGAACATTTATTGACAGTCAATTTTGGGTCACTTTTTAAAATTAATTTACTTTTAAACCAGGACTCGGACAAGATCTTATGGGGCCTTAAGCAGAATATGATTAAGCAACTCCGTCTTTCTGTCAAGAACATCCACCAGCAGGGTATCCAGGGGGGGATTTACCATTAGGCAATACAAGGCAGTTGCCTAGGGCCCCAAGTTCCTGGGGGCCCCATAAAACTCTGTTTCCATGTATGGTTAATACAACTAATCCTTATTTGTGCTCATTAATTATGTTTTTGATAAAAATCCTTTGGCTAAAATGCCATCAGAACGCTGATAAATAGAGAGGAAAAAGGGACGATAAGAGAGGGACAAAACCTAGAACAAATAATGGATGTCTATTCTATTAACATTTCTCTATCTGTAGAATGGGTCTGTTTTATGGGTTTTCTTCTCAGGGGGCCCCCTGCCTGTCTTTGCCTAGGGCCCCAGATTTCCTAAATCCGCCCCTGAGGGTATCAATACTGATTTGATAGAATCTGGGAGAGCGGACTATGTTCAACCATCCATTTTCTTTAACCTTATCCCTCAGTGGGATCAGGAGGTGCTGGTGCATATCTCTAGCCACGTTCTGGGTGAGAGGTGGGATCACCCTGGACAGGTCACCAGTCTGTCGCAGTATGTTCAACCAGCTTAAAAGTAATCGGTAATCAGATTTATTATTTGCACTTTTACTATGTGAACTTTCTAACTCCCTTAAATCTGACCCCCTGCAGAGTGACGTCACACCTGCAAGATCCTATCCTTACCTTCCAGCTAGATTGCAAAAAGCAGCTTGCTCATGAGTTGTCAACATAACATGCTAAATCTTAAATGTACGTGTACATATAAAAGAAAAAGGGGCGCAGTGCTTGCTACTGAATGGCAACACTATCAAAGTCAGGAAAAAGTTTTAAGTAAAGCCGGGATTAAAACAGTAGCTACAAGAAGCTTCAAATAAAAGGTGTTCTTTATGTTCAACCTAAACACCAACTCCGATAGACCATCAGTAGAGCAGGTGTTTAAATTAATCAATCACTGCTGCGAAAGCTTATAGCAGTGAAAGCTAATATACCACAGCCATCACTTAATAAACGCAAAATAAACAACACTCTAAAAACGGAAAACTGTAATGGACTGAAAGTCCTGTTTTTTATGTGGGAAATTATTTGCGTGTGTTTTAGTATAATTCTGATATATTGGCGCTGTTGTCTGTTTCTATGGCAACGATACTGAATGTAGTGTAGCTTAGAGACCTGCATGGGTCGAGTTTTACCAACCCGCACCCGCCCGAACCCGTTAGGATGACTACCGAACCCGACCCGTCACCCGCGGATATCTTCAATTCAAATCCGAACCCGACCCGTTGATATTTAACCCGCAACCCGACCCGTTAACCCATCATAGGCTATTGGACGCTGCGCTGCACCCAGTTCCTGATTAATATAACATTTCTGATGTCCATAACAACACACACGCATAAAAAAAAATCACCAACTACCCGCCCGCACTAGAAAAATATCCGCCCGACCCGTTTATTTTTTTTAAATGTATTTTTCGCGGGTACCCGACCCGTTGCAGGACTAGTGTAGCCGACATAACAGGGCCGGAAAAGAGTGGTTTGAGTTTTTTTTTCCAACGGTTCAGTTATATTTTAAATATGGTATTAACTTATTTTTACACTATTCTCTATTCTTTTACTACTTTAAGTCTCTCCTGACTAAAATTAGGTCTTAATATTTCCACAAGTCCCTCTCACCTGCAAGTCTGAGTCCACTTCTGTCCCTGAATGGGTTAGCATTTTTGGAGGGAAGCGACAGGTGTTATGGGGAGAGGGCGGAGGGGGGTGATGGGGAGAAAGCGAGAGGTTTTTGTCGGGGTTTGTGGACGGTGAGCAGCGGGGAGAACTTTTTTAATTTTCTTTCTGAGGAGCGGCATGAATGGGGTT